ATGGACGCAGCTACAAAATGGCGAATTACATATTGTTTCACAAGTAACTTAATATGGGTATCAAATGACAGAGCTGACCAGTGGAATAGTGGTACATTTTGAAAAAAATGCAAATTCAAGATGTAAGCAGCTACAGAATGGCGGATTATATATTTTTTCAAAATTACCCCAATATGTATATTGAAGGACAGAGCTTGACGAGTAGAATAGTAGTACACTTCAAAAAAGATGCAAATCCAAAATGGCCGCAGTAACAAAATGGCGGATTACATATTTTTTCCACAACTACCACAATTTGGGTTTCAAATAACAGGGCTTGGCTAGCATAATAGTAGTACACTTTGAAAAAGATACAAATTGAAGATGGCCGCAGCTACAAAATGATGGATTACATATTACCTTGTAATACTGAGGCACTTAAAAAACTAAACAAAATGGAAAGAATTGAGTGACAAAATAGAAAACTAAAAATTTGAAAATAAAATGTGTAAAAACATTTTCTTCGGTTTCTTTGAAAAAAAAAATAATGATGTAGATAATGTACTATAAACAAAAAAAATTATGCGGAAAGCCCTAATCATACCCAGTCACCATACCCCTCTTCTCAGCATTTTAGGATATTGATCAGATAAACAAAAATAAAATCGTTGGGTGTAGTATTCACATATTTACTCAGGTTACGCTACGCCTAACGATTTAATTATTTTTTATCTGATCAATACCGTAGATTGCTGAGAAGAGTGGTGTGATGATTGCTACCAACGACCTTCCGAATTATTTTTCAGTTTTTAGTGCATTATCTACATCATTATAATCTTTTTCTTTCAATAAAAACATTTAACATAAAAAATTTTTTTACTCGTTTCATTTTTTATAATGTTATCCGTATTTGGTAGGTACTGGAGAGTAAGACAAGTGTCTTACGGCAAAATATCGATATCTACCAGTGAGGATGACAGTAATTGTAATTGAATTTCACTCCTTTCATTCATTATATTGTGTGGGAATTCTATGAATGATGTCTCATTCAATTCCATAAGAATGTTAGGATTTCAAACGGAATGGAGAAGTGTTTTTTAGTATGATTCAAAGTTACTTTTTTGCATAATCAACACATCTTTGTGTAGAGGTCATTTTTGAAATTGATTGCTTCCTTGCTTCGTTTGGAAGATTTTCACTTTTTTGTATCAAGATGGAGAAGTAGAAAGCCAAAATCTTCCTTTCCCAAAAAGTATTTAACCGATATTATTAACTGCCTTTCTTAACACGACCTCTGCTTGAAACTCTGTTAGTATAAAAACTAAATGAAAATGGAGAAAACCTAGTAATACATGAACGTAGTATTATACAAAATTATAGCGACGGGAAAATGTAAATTCCTGTAGTGTTCATGGAATAAAAAAAATCTACTTTTTATTTTTTCTCAATATGCAAATCCAACTTGCGTAGGTACCAAAACCATTGTTGGGTGTTTTCATAAGATTTTTTGTGCTCGATAAGTCGCAATGAAAGTGACACAACTTACTTCCTGTGACACAAAACCAATTACTTTTCCGTCGCACTACTGCTTTCAATGAAATGTTGCGGAAACATTCTGACTTTGTTGAGAAATAATATTACAAGCCTTTGCAACCATCATCTATCATCGTGTTCATCCCGACCTCAGATTAACCTCTGAGGATAAAAAAATGTTCGATAACACCATTCTTGATATTCACAAATGACTACGACATAATGAATAACTTGTTGAGGTGATTTTCAACTCAACTGATAATTTTTGAGAGTAAGTTGAGAATTTTAAATGAATAGTAGCCTGTCTCAATGACTGAAATGTTCTTGAGATCAGAAATATTCATCATAAGATATAGAGCACAGTTAACAGAGTTACATTGGGACCAGAAAAACAAAGTGTCCGTTACTATCAAACACCTTATATTATATACTCGTGATGCACTGTTTGGAACCTTTGGTGTAGTAATGAATACTACTGGAGTTTCATCTCAACACCGAACCGTTATTTTAACACCTCGACACGTGTTTCGATCACCAAGTGATCATCTTCAAGAGATCAAACTTATCATACTAACCAACCTATATCTATATATACCATAGATACATATTCCAGGTCTTGATTGTCTTAAATTAATTTTACAATTTGCCATATCTACTAGTCTTACATAAATGTTACAATGTTTCCTTGTGTAATAATGAGGAGAACCTAATAATTGAAATATTATAAGTTATTAGGAATCACACGTTAAAAGGTAAGACTTCGTTAGTCCTTAGCTCGCACAAGTTTCTCAATTTCTGAGAGTTGTCGTTCGTATGGGGGGCGACAGCTGATTAACGGAAAAACGGTTTTTAAACAGATAATAATTTCGCAAATTGCCTTATCTACTAGTCTAACTTTAATTCTATAATGTGTCCTTATGTAATAGTTAGGTAAATCTAGTGATCAAAACAAGTGTCGAGTTGTTAAAATAACACGTGTCGAGGTGTTTGGTGTTTGGAAAAAACTCCAGTAATATTTACCTCCTATTATGTACTCTTGAAGATGATCATTTGGTGCTCAAAGCACGTGTCGAGGTGTTGAAATAACGGTTTGGTATTGGTATAAAACTCCAGTAATATTTACCTTTTACCATCATACTTCGTGGTGAACTCGATCATAATGCATGATAACCCTCGAATGTCACAAATTGAGAAGATAAACCGCTATCAGTTGGAAATGATGATCTGCTTTGTGAGTTACTTACCGCTGAAGTGAGCCATCGCTATATGGGTATGGTTTGGGACTAGATCGTTTCGTAATATAGTAATATCGGTAGCACGGAGATATTCCTGACAAGCCTTTGCCGGTTCACGGATTTGTCAACTGGATGGTTAGGTTAGGTTGGGTTAGGTCCGAAGTGAGAGGGTCTAATCTGTATCCACCGCAACCCGCAAGGGTTGATTGTGGCTAACACCTATTCACACTCGACCAAATAAACCCAGCTTCTTAACGAGGCCGATTCGTTTGTATGGTGAGTGGTCTTTCAGGTCAGATGGTAAGAGTACGGCTCTGCCGAACTCCAAAAACCTGATTCGGTTCCCAGCGAAGCAGGCACAAAGTATGTACTGTGCTGTTTCATCATTTTCTAGCTGGATGGTACTTCTCGATTTGAATCTAGTTCTCCTATCAAAACCCCGTTTCTAATAGAAACAGCGCCTCCACTCTGATGAATATAATTCAGTATTCTACGAGTATTTTGTTAATATTATCTATGGGTACTGAAACTTTCGTTTCTTCTCGTTACCACGGTCATATCATCTACCCAAATTAATAAAATAAATAAAGATCCCGTTGCCATTGGCTTTCTAAGAGATATTTTATTTTACTGATATTATGATTATGACTTACTGGTAAGTGTATAAATTGCTAGAAAGATATTCAGTGTGCGGAATAGATAGGTGGAATATGACAAAATGGTAAAATGGAGAAACCAGCAAAACAGCAAGAGATGAAGAAGATAGTGAGCCGAATGTGACAAAGATGAAATTTCTGAAGAAAATACAAAAAATTGAAAGAGAGAGAGCTAGAGAGGGTGTAGGCGGGTAAGGCAAGGAACAACAAATGACACTGGATGGGATGACATGCAGGTCAAAAGTCAAACACCGGAAAATAAAAGAAGTAAATTTCAAATAAGTTACCAAGTAATACTACAGACTTTTTTTGGTTCTGTATCATGATTTTGAGGTTCAAAAAGTTGTCCTATTTTTCTTCGTTCTGTCGAATTTGTATTCTATCGTAGCATTTTGAGGCTAATCCAACTCGTGAAATTACGAAGAAATAGAGTCGCTTCTTAGTCAGATCATCTCAAATAAACAAATATTTTGAAAATTTTGCGTGGATCGTTACCCCCCAATTGATATCAGAAATTTATTGTGATAATGAAAGCAAATTGAGAATACTTTTTCAATCTTCTGTAAAAACTGTGACAATGGAATAACTCTACAGCTCACTCAAAAAAAATGTATAGTGACATATTTAACGTGCAATGAGTTTCAATTTATGAAGCTGAAATAAACGTCCTCATAAAGAAGTAATTTAGGTTATACATATAATTCAATACATTTAATTTTCATACATCTAGAATTACGGCTTTTTTGATTTTGATATAAATATAAATACAATTATTCGGTTGAGATGAAATAGTTCCTGTTCATCTCTCATAAAAAAGTGTATTCGTTTATTCAGAAAATCTCTTACCCAGTATCGATAAATACTTCTCCAATTATAATCTTCTCAAGATTTTCAATAATGTTTACTTTTGTCTCCAATGTCAGAAATTCATTGCATCTATTCTTCAAAACTACATTACAATAAAAATTCATATAGATACGACAATTGATTAACGTTATAAAGATAAACCTCAAAACCATGAAATGGGGATATGTATTCTGTATAAAAGATTAATGATCTGAAAAATGTGTTTGTCGTTCGTCACCAAATTATTTTTTAGAAGAAATCGAAATTGAAACAAATGACAGATTGGGATGTTAAACAAATCATAGTGACAAAAATTGTTAGGAATCACCAAAACCATATCTGCATACTGCTGTAGCTGAAATGTCACTTTCGAAAAATCGTATCAATTTCCATAGATAATTTTCATCAACTTTTTCTTCAGGTTAAAATATACAAAAAATGGAAACATCATAATTTTTCGTCAATTACGGTTCATTATTGTGACTAGAAATTTGGAATGAAATGAATAGGATGTTAAATATTTGCAAATATTTATTGCTGAAAGTATGCTTTCACAAGCAATTATACAAGTTAAATTGAAACAATAGTTTTAAAAATCTTACATTAAATCACAGTCGGTTTATAATTATTCAGAACAAAATATCTGCTAAACAGAAATTATATATAGGAAGAAACAAAAAACAGTGTGAAATTAAATTGACAAAATTCGTATAAAAAAATATGAGTGGTTCAACTAAGTCAAAAGAATATATACAAAAAACAGTTTTGATGAGATCATTGAGTGAATACGAGCTGATTTAAAAAATAAAATATAAATATCAAAAACAAAAATCGAGAAAGTGATGTATATTGAATTGGAACGTCATGAAACACCGAAAAATTGATAAATATCGAATAGAATTTTCACGAACACCTATTAAAAAAAATTTTCTCGAAAAGTCATTCACCTTATTCAAAGAATACCCTTCTCACATCACTTTGAAGATGTAAAATAAAATTTCAAAGAAACTTATATTTCTAACCTGTCATCAACAACAACTTTGGAACGTTATCAAAAAATCGCCATCATAGAAGATGATAGAAACTTAGATATTGAAAATATACATTATTAAACAATTGAAGAGATATATTAGTATCGCCGGGATAAAAAAAATTATTGAAAACCAAAATATGTCGATTTGAAAAATCATTTGAATTATCATTAAAATTAGAATATATGGGGCAAGTTCTTGATAAAATTATTACAACTCAATATCACAGATCAAAATACACTTCATACAATTGCTTGTAAAATATTTTTATCCTCCTCACAAGTATTGTTGGACGGAGAAAGATTTCTTATGGCAGCAGTGGGATTTTTTCACGCAGATTGGTACACAGCTGCATTGGCAACCCTGTTCTTCTTCAGATATGTTCACCTCGCCGGATTCACAACTATCAGGAACCACAGCTGGTGGAAGGCAAACTTGTGGAATTTTGGGTTCAGTCTTGAAAGTAACGTCTCCGGGTATGACTTTGCAGACACATGGAGAGCTGCAACAGCTGCAACAACCCCTGCCACCACTAACCCCACCACTGACACCTCCACTGACACCACCGCTAATACCAGTTGCGTCACTGATAGCATCAGCAGCACCATCAACGGCAGTTTCGATCAGGTTTCCTGCTGGTACGTTGACGAAGGTTGGATTGTTGGCTAGAAAAAATCAAATTTTGAACATAACATAATCACAAAACAAACATTTATCATTATTTTTTACAATTGAAGCTCCCTATAAAAATGAACATTTCATCCTGCAGTTTTCTCGCGCTAGGAATCGCTCGTTTAAATATAAAGCCTCATTAACATTTAGCTCGCACAACTTAAGACTTTTGGGGATTATCGCTTGAAGGTTAATGCCTAACGGAAAACTGATAAAAAATGACTGAGCCCATGCTGCAAAATTGAAGTATAAACAATCTCTTGTATTATATGTACTATAGACCCCTCAGTATTTTCGCCAACGACATATTATTCATTCCTCTAGTAAAAAGGAATAATGAAAGCATACGATGACAGGTTGAATGAGAAATAATTGTATGAAAATTTAAAATGATCAAATGAATACAAAACATAAAACGAAAATTAATCTGTATGACGGAATTGGCCGATAATTGATGAAAATCCATAACTAACGTATTCAAAAAACACTTTATTGTTAGATTTTCACTAAACGATTATACAAAAACGCAACACGTGTTTTGCCATACAATGGTCATACATACATGCCCGAAGAAGTCATTGTATGGCGAAACACGTATTGCGTTTTTGTAAAATCGTTTAGTGAAAATCTTGCAATAAAGTGTTTTTTTAATACGTTAGGAAATTAATCGATACTTGATGAAAATCCATGATAACGTACTTGGGTGAATACATTTTCACTAAACATTTCACAAAAGCGCAACAAGTGTTTCACGATAAAATAGCTATACTAACAGTCAATAGTAAATACGCTAAACAAACGAATACCTAGTGGAACTCATAGTGAAGTATCACTTAAAGAAAAAAAACGGTAAACAAAAAGGGAATTCGAATAATGAATATTCTAGAAATTAATTGACAAAAATTTATTTCGAATAGAATCAGTCAACGTCAAATGTTCCGATAGGAAATACCCAACAACTATAGAGATGTTGCTGGAATGTTTATAATGGTAATATCTTATTGAATTTCATGTGGCGAATTTGGTTTGATTATTCTTCATCTATCTGAAGAATTCTGAAGACGTTTTTGGATCTGTATGAATGTCCAATAGGTCTTCTTACGAAGACCTATTGGATTAAAACCAGTATCGACATTGTTCAAACTTGTAGCAAAAAAAACAACAATGAACTTGATCAATATCCAGTTATGAAGGATGGCGAGCAGGAAGACATCAGATAAGAAACTTTTGTTGAGAAAAGAAGAAAGAATAAGAACGATAAATCTAAAAATAATGAATGCACAAGTCGTCAACGTATCTGAAAGTTACAATCGACCCTATTGAAAACAACAAAGAACAAAAAAAGACAAATATATTGTACTGTGAGTCAACCTGAAGGTCACTGGCTGGATGAAAAATAATTATTGGTATTTTTAGTCTATTTCACTTTATATAATATCCAATGAGTAAGTGCAAATTCATTTTCACTTACGTTTAGCAGGAGTATATCCAATCTCTCCCAAACTGACTCTTCTTGGTCCCATATTACCAGTTCCATCATTTCCGTCTACAGCCATATCATCTTCTTCTGCTTGAAGTTCTAACAAGTCATCCGCAGCTTCCTCTGCCAAAGATCTTCCTGATCCTCGTTTCACTGGTTTCAGTTCTACGATTTGTCCGTTCAAACTGAACATTTTCTCTTCGGGGACATTGTTTTGGATTACCTAAATCAAAACATGATGATTTGACCATTTTCGAATCGAAAACAATTTTTCAAACATAATTATTCAGTGGACCTTCATATTCCGTTATATACAGGATGTTGAGAAATATAACTTACCTTTTTGGGTGGTAATTCCTTGGGGATTTTCCTGAACCCAAAGTGTAATCTATCTTCACCTGCGATAGTGTTGACTTGTGCCTTTTGGGCCATTTTGTAAGCTAGATCTAATGAAACAGCATCAGCTGGAGCGCAGTTGGCTTGGTTCCTGATACAGCTTGCAGATCCAGGTCCATAAGGTCCATTGAGGGGAGATGGTCCGAGTAAACCATCACGACCTCCATTGAGTCCATAGAGGCCCGCTCCTGGTGCAGTTCCATAAGATCCTAAATTTCCCAAAACGGGTCCTGAGCAAGATCCAAGGATTGTTGAAGTCGCGGTACATTGAACATTCTAAAAAATCCTTCAATTAACTACCAACATCTTGATAGAAGTTCGAATTGAATCGAAAGCAATGCATCATCCTAGACAGCTTCATGTAGCACAGCTACATTTTTCAAAGAATATCATAGAATAATATAATATGATATAATTTGAATGGCATATTGAAATAACTGAACGTCACAAATTGAAAATGTGAATTGAGAGCTGTTGAAGCCATTTAAGATAAGTTAAATAATTGAAATATTATTGCAATCATATTAACTCCTTCAGAGGCCACTATATCATTTCTGTGGCAGTAGGTGGCATCACTATATCTTCCACCAGTTGGGTATTTTGTCATTCAAAGAATTATATATGACGAGATATAATATTGCTGTGGTCTACTCTCTATCCAATAATTTTACTTTTGTTTAGTTTCAACAGAAGTATTTTGATTGTATAAAAATCTTCCTTTGAAGATTATAAAGATTTCACCTTTCCCCTTATTCAAAAAAGTTGTTTTCATCTAATCGTTTATGTGAAGGCAATAAATAATTTGCAAAAATTTCAATTTGAAAGTATTGGATTTATTAATAGAGTATTTCGATCGAAAATCATCAAATATTCTTCAGAAAAGGAAGTATTAGTCGAAAATTGATTCTCCATTTATGATATCAATATGATCAAACTACTTCGTAGAGCAAAAAAATTAGTAACGATCACTTACGTGGCTACAATGGCAGCTGTCAATAGCTCCACATGTAGATGCTGGTGCACGGCAAACAGGTTTTGGAAGAACAGCAGGTTTAACAATAGCCTTTTTGATTGCACATGGACCAGGAACTGGTCCCAGAGATGGGGGAAGAGATACAGCGGGTTTAGGTAATTCTTGGGGTCTAACAACCAATGGAACATGAGGTCTACCTGAACCAAGTCCACCAGGTCCTCCAAAACCATTACTATTAAGGCCTCCCAATCCGGTGAATCCAGCTAATCCATTCAATCCGTCTACACCACCAAATCCATTGAGGTCTTCTCGTCCTCCAGGTCCGAAACAACCGCCGCTGCCTCCACATCCTCCGCATCCACCACATCCTCCACATGATCCACATCCACCATAGGGATAGGCAGCGACCTGAAGCAAATAGGGAAATAGGTGTGTTGTTCGTAATATGTATGTTATTTCTATATATGAATGTTATTTCTATCTTCCATCAGTTTCCTGATCCTCATATATTGAGATTTCAAAATGTGTTAATAAGGTACCATCATAATACCATAATACTTCTTTGGTAAAGATCGATATTGAGAAGTGTTCATGCATATTTTTTGTTTTTAGCGAATATGTTTTATATTATTCTTCTCACCAACTATTCCTCAGTATGTTCGATTCATATTCAAGTGACAATTTTTATTAGATTGTCTGAACAGTTCACAAAATCACAACTGTTTGGAACCTTTGGTGTAGTAATGAATATTACTGGAGTTTTTTCCCAACACCAAATCGTTATTTTTACACCTCGACACGTGTTTCCATCACCAAGTGATCATCTTCAAGAGGAAGATAAAACTAATAACTACCAAAACTAAAGCTACAAAACTAGCTTCAGTTTTGAGTAGTTATTAGTTTTATCTTCCTCTTGAAGATGATCACTTGGTGATCGAAACACGTGTTGAGGTGTAAAAATAACGATTTGGTGTTAGGAAAAAACTCCAGTAATATTCATTTACTATAACAATTTGAAGCATATGTCCATCTACCTATTTGATGACTAATAAATCTACCTCTGTTCAGGTATGAACTGATTGAAAATTCAAACATAAGAAATTGTATTAACTTATTAAATGAACATGTAATGAACCAATCACCAATTTTCACGTTAAAACAGATTCAACAGAGAGAAATAATTCAATTCTATCTGGTCTTCCAGTGAGTTTTACGAATTTTTGAATATATTAATGGTCAACCAGTTCAAAAGACTCAACCTATTTTCCCAATGTAATACGTCATAGTCGTGGTTGAACTCCTGTCCCTCTACCAAAAGATGGTTTGTAAATGTGGAATTAGTCTTCTATCCAAAAAACCACTTCTATGTTCTTTTATACTACGGAAACTACAAAAACCAGCCATTTACCAGGTATATCCTTCAAGAAACGATAATGAACATCAGAGGACATTGACATACTTGCGTACGCACGAATAACATCGTTCGTTTTTTTGAAAGGAAAAACCTAGACGTAGATTACAGAACGAATGAAAACCTAAGCAGATTCACCAAGTGCAATGGAGACGAAACTTCAGTATCGGATATATACTGAGTATATGAGTTGATTTGTGGTTCTTACCCAAAATTATGTGATTCAAAGTGATATATTGTTAGGTAGAATTGATTTAGTATGAATATGCATGAAGAAGATCGTGTACAGCGAGACGCCTGTTTGCGACTTGATACATTTTTCATTGAAAATATCACAATATACTATTACTTCAGCAAATGCCATCTTCTCCTATCACACGTCTTCGGAAAGATAATGTATTGAAATAGACCAATTTGAATTTTTTTGCTCAAAGCAAAACTACTACTAAAACTACAACTGAATAGTTAGTTGAACAACATGTCGAATATATCATTCGAATAGCAGTGGGGGTGAGTTCATCCTTGATGATTCATTGTAGGTGTTTTAGGTGTTTTATTGGTCAAAGCCCATTCGGGGTGTCTCCCGATAAATAATAAATATTTTTTCAGAAGAAGTACAATTATTATCGTCAGCAATATTCATTGAACAATAATATAATATCTCGAGTTTTCCAAAACACTTTTTGAAGAAAACAGAAATGAACAAACTGAGAATTCAACTAAACTAGAAGTGATTACCCTCAACTTTCAACTTTGTTCATTGACTTAACAAATAATTCACTTACATTTTGAATCACGACCACCAACCCGACTACAACTAAGACGAATTTCATGGTTCACTGTCTATCTATATGACTATAGACAAAAGTGATTGGAATATGACTGCAACCAAATTCCGGGTTTTTATATATTTTACGTTATTGCATACCAAACTGACCCAAGGTTATATTTACGTCAAATTAAATATATTGGTGTAGGTGTTGATGCAGGAATAAAGTTAAACAAAGTTCATGTTAATACGTGCGGTACATATAGGTTAATGAACCTCATCATTCCATTTATCTATTATCTTAGACTTAGTTTTATTGCTAGAAGTGGATTTTCATTCAGTTGTTGGTGTGTTGTGAAATAACAGGAAATTACACTTTTTTTTTCATTTTGTGAAAATTTTGTTATTAGGTGATATTAAGAAACATCCTACATACAATACATCAAAGGTGATGTGAAAAATGAGAGTGATTTTCGACCCACATATCAATCTTTTCAAAACCGCTTTATGAACGGCACATTACCTTTTTTTGACTGAAACTTCTGAGGGCCCCAGAAATGCCGTTATTGGAGTGACACCAACCCTCACGTTCTCCTGGAAACACATACCCAATATCTAGGAAAAATTAACGTTTGGGCAGGAATATTGGGAAACCATATTGTAGGACCTCTATTTATTGATCAAAATTCAACAGGGGAAATATATAAATTCTTGGATGTAGCCATTACTACGTGGTGGGAAGTCATAATGGAGAAAATAGAATTGAAACTTTCTATGTTTTTATCACTTTTATTTGTGACTAACGTTACTGCGGTTCGTCCTATAGGGACACTTTCAAACTTATAGGACGAAACTGCAGTAACGTTAGTTACAAATAAAAGTGGTAAAAAACGTAAAAAGTTTAAATTTTTTTTTCCATTAGTATTTGAATATGCTAAAAACTACTGTTGACCCCCTCATCACTGAAATTGTTGAAGCGAATCCTAATGAATTCGATATGAATATTGTATTCCAACAAAATGGAGCACCACCACATTACTCCAGACAAGTAACGAAACTATTTGGATACTACTTTTCCCGGTCGTTGGATTGGCCGTCCAGGTCCTACAGAATGGCCAGCCCGCTCGCTAGATTTGACACCTTTGGACTTTTTTATGGGGCCATCTGAAGCAAAAGGTGTATGAAGCTGAAACCGCTTCAATATTGGATAAACGGCAGAGAATAATAAATATTTGTAGAGATATTGACGTTACTATATTCGAAAATGTTCGGCGTAAAATATCGGATAGGCTGTTCAGATGTGAAGAAGTTCAAGGCAACCATTTCGAGCATATTCTGGACTGACCTCAAGCTTATCACCTCATATTATGGAGTTAAATGTCAATGTATTCAGGCAATTATTAAAAGTTCTGCCATTTTGTAGCAGTTGAAGACATTGACATTATATTCACAAGACCCCCCTTCCCATTTAATTTTTTTCCCTAGCGATGGCGCCCAGTAGCCATCTTGAAAGTTTCATCTGTCAATTTTTGAACAGGGATCTCAATAGCGGTCCGTTGCAATGACAAGCTTTGACAATGTATTTTACTACAGCTTTCATTACGAGGCAACTAGATTGAACAGAGCCCAAAGATGGTTTGGAGGCCTGAAGGGGCTGCAGTTCAGGGTGTTAGGTTTGAGGGAGCGGCAATTTATTTTTTTTCTATTGAGTATTTTCTATCAGTGCATTACACGTTTGTATTTGCATCATGTTACAAAAAGTATTCATCTGAGTGAGTGATAACATGATAAGTTGTCAAGATTTGTCAAAACTGATTTCAATTCGTTCAAAGAAATGTGTTTGAAGGCAACATCGCTTCCTAAATCAAAGTGTAATTCAATCTGAACCAATCAATAAACAAGAGATAAAAATATTCTACCTTATGTACCCTGAAAGCTGACAAAACAGATTACTATTCCATATCAACTCTTTGGAGGAATTTCTAAATTAACGGAAGATTTGATGACAGAAGATATGGATATATTCATTTGAAAAGCCACGAAAACCCAAAAATGCCATGAATCGTATGTGTATGAAAAGGAAGAGTTGATTGTCAATCGCTAACACAATTGGACAAAAATTCTATTTGGAGAATGGAAACGTATTGTTGCTGATATTCTTTATTAGCCGATGATAGTTCACCTCTGAGAGGTCATATTGATCGATTTGGAACCCATAACTGTGAAAATGTCATCATGTGTATTGAATCAATTGCCAAGTTGTTTCCTCATTTGGCCACTAATATTCCCAAATATTGGAATCCAAACCAAGAATATACCTCTTACTTGTCCTCAACCACTAATGAAGAGTTGCTGAAAATTCTAGGCAAAAAAAGTATATAGCATAATAATAGATGAAATGAAAACCGCCATTATTTTGCATGAATTGTTGATTCTACGACAAAAATTGCACATGTAGATCAATTGGCGGTAATAATTAAGTATAATTGAGAAAGGAAGATTTTGCTCCCTACTTCTACACCATAATTTAAAAAAAATGTGGAAATCTTTTTGAGAAAGGAATGAAGTAATCAACTTCAAAATAAAATCTATACAAAGATGTTTAGTTCAGAAACAAACGTTACTTAGTGACATCGATGACATGAGTAGATTTTCCACATTCGTGACACGAAGTCGTAATTTTATGAATGAATTGAGGGCTTCATCTTGTAATGTTATTCAGATTAATTATGAAGAGTGTCTTATTCCGAAACATCGAATGTTCGCCATTGAGGATGACAGTGTTTCATGTAAGTGAAATTCTACCTCTTTCATAGACTATATTGTGTAGCAATCCTGTGAATCATATCTGGTGCAATCTATCATTGAAAGGAATGAGTTATACAGGGCATACAGAAATACCTAATTATAATGATCTACGTCTGAAGGAACAATACTTGACCTATAGAAACGTCCTGTACATTCAAACTAAAAGAATAAAAAAAAACAATATTTGAAAATTTGAAAAGAGCAGTAGTAACTCTAAGGCAACAGATATTACACAAATGAAGGCGAGACACTAGCTGAGCAGGTGATAATTCGAAATAATCACCCTCTAAAAATAAATAACAAGGCTAAATCCATTTTTTGTACCAACAAATGAGGACAAAGTAATTGATAAGATAATGTCCCTCAAATCGAAACAGGCATGGATGACATCAGACCTGAAACATTAAATGAAATCAAAATAGAAATAGCAATCCCGTTAACACATCTCATAAACAAAGTTTTGAAAAATGGGCAGTTCCCCTCAGTTTTCAAAGTGGGTATAATGAATGAAACCTCTTTTCAAAAAAGATAATCAAAAACCCATTTGCAACTACAGACCAATCACGCTCATAAGTAGTTTGGCAAAAATAATAGAAAAAATCATGAAGGACAGAATAGTAAAATACCTTGTCAAACATAGGGGAGCCCACGATGCAAAATGGGGATTTACTCGAGCGTCATAGAGACCTATTAGGTTGCAAAGCTTAGATGACAAGAAAAAAAATGTTATATAATATATACCTTTTCATCGGTGGGGGAAGCTGCTATAGACTATTAAATATGTAAAAAATACTGTTGCATGGACATACTCGAGCGCGTCAGATATTGATACCATCAATGTCCTATGTATTTTTAATAATGTTGGTATGTTAATCTGATCGTTTGCATGATGTGGGTGGTTGTACGTAAGGGTTAAAAATGAATAGAAAAATTAATCGAGCGCGTCAGATTTTCTAAGGGGGTATTAAGTGCACCTAAAAAAAGCTCTCATTCAATAATCTGACGATATTGATCTGACGCAAGCTCGCAGCCATTATTATAATGTGCATAAAACGTAATTTTGAAATAATCAAGCGCGTCAGATTAAGATATATATTGTTCATCTTTATGTTTTAGACGTGCTGTCTCATAATCTGACGATTATCTAGAGGGATTTGCCTAATCTGACAAGTCATGGCAACAGAATTCAGAGTGGGGACGGAGTGAGAGAGTCATAGATAGAGAAAAAGTGAAAAAGGAATAGAAACGCGGAGCGGGAAATATAGACATCACGCAGCTGCACGACGAATTTTTGCTATTTCGGCTTGCGCAAATCGTCAGATTTTATATTTTTCGATATCCTTGAATTATTTTCTTCAAAATAAAAATAAATTCGCTACGCTCGAGAATGTCGAGATGACGTTTTTTTTACAACTTTGCTGCCCTCCCCTTTCTTTACGTCACTCTCAAATTATCAGATTACTGGAATATACACTTTTTAGCATGTAATTAACTTACCCTACCTTAATCTGACGCGCTCGAGAATTTCCGATAATCAACTTTTTTTTACTAATCTGATCCTTTATCCCTCACAGGCGGCCTTATATATGGAGCTCGTATTTGGTGGAGGTACTTAACCGGGTACAAGGTATCCCTCTGTATATTAATCTGCCGCGCTTCAGTAAATCCCGAAATCCCGACTTGGGCTCCCCTATTATAATAAACAATTTGGTTTTCGCGATGGTTGATCTACTGAGGACGTAATTCACTTATTTACAGCTAGAACCTATGAAAATCATGCACAGTTGCTTGACGTTTTACAAGGTAAGGGATTCAGAGGAATCGCACTGATGGATAGAGTGCAATATGTGAGGATCGGTGGATCAATAAGTGAAAAGTCAAAGATAAAATGTCCCACAGGGTTCCGTTCTCGGTCCCATACTTTTTATACCATATATTAATTCAATACTTTTTTTCGATAGTCGTGGTACAATTTCTACTTTTGCAGATGATACAATTATCATCTATGAAGGCAATAACTGGACAGATGTGAATGAAAAAGTAGAACAGGATATGAAAAATATAGTTGAATGTTTTAACCAGATGGTAGTATCCATAAATTTAAAAAAAAATGTGGTTCTTACCTTTTGCATGTTATGCTAGTGGCCTCTCTATCTATGATAGATACATTACAAAATCAACAATTGCTCTGGCGAAACAATTGATATACTGAGAACAAACAGCATAAAGTACCTTGGATTAACTGTCGATTGTCATATGATGTGGAACAAACACATATTACAAGTCTGTAAAACATTACGTTCACAGCTTCCCAAATTT